CGATCAAATAAATTACAAGATTCTTCGCTATCGTAAAGGAATGGAGACAACGTAAACAAAATGGAACATGTACGCGACAGGTTTTAAGGTAGACTTTGTGAGGCATTTTGTCACAATCACCGCAAACCATGCGAATGCGATGATGGAGCTTAGATTTCGGATTAAGATGTGTGGAACTTCTTCATTAACCATAACAACGTATGCACTTAAGTTAGATTTTGAAAATTTATTACCTGTATCACAATTTTTGCATGAATTCTTATATCATGATATACAGGTAATCATTGATTACTAACTTGAATCAACGCCGAAATCAAGGATCAAACATCGCAATTGTATCATATGTGGTAATTGTGGTAACCCTGGACTGTGAGGCGGGAGTTTGTAACGATGAGTGAACGAAACCATGATTCGTATAGTACGAAACGTGAAGGGTTGATGATTCGAAACACTTGACTGGTTATGTTTTACGGGAATAAAGGTTAAACTATATGTAAAAAAATGGGTATGGGTCAGTATGGATAACTTCACAGAGGTAAAAGGGCTAGCAAGTCCATTTTTTATAGCCAGTGCGTTTCGGGAAGGATTCAAACCCGGCTATCGGAATGCTATATGCCATTTGCAACGACCGTGTTCACAATCGTTTTCAAGACCTTTAATCGTCGGGAAAGGTAAGGTTTACCAACATTAGCAACTATTATATTCCATTATTAATAAAATCAGCCAGGATTATAGATTCCTTATTTTCAGACTCATGACAGCTCTCCTACCCGGGTGTGTTTACTCATCTGACCATAAACAAAGTGAATGATGCCAATTTACTTATTTGTAAAAGGCTGCACAATGTCGAAAATTTCACCGCCAGCGGTTGGTAGCAACCTTAATCGCCCCAAAGCGGATAGTAATGAATAGACAGATAGATGTATGTAGTGTATAGGCCTACATATATACATAGGTCTATATATACAAATGTATATGGATATGCATATATTGAGCAAAACAAATGTTATTCAGGAAGATATATTGTAATGGCGGTCATTAATATATGTAAACTATTGAAATTTCACCAATAATACATTAGTAAAGAGAAAACTATCGGCCGGTACACAGCTCCCGAAACCTTTCCCGATTAATGTGTGGTGAAAGATAGTGGGGAAATATAGTCGGGATCTTTATGAATGTCCAGTTGTTACTGACAAACTCGGAAGTCGGGTACGAAGCGACTATAATACGGCTGTTAATCAGAAATACACGATGCAGATTTAATCGAAACGCGTTCGTCCCACCTCTTGCGCCGTGAAGTTATAGCCTTTTCCTACACTTGTCAGAATGAACTCTTGCTTAAGATGCGTCTCTCGCGTCTCGCTTCCTGCCCTAGTGCTTTTCCGACGCCGCGGGGCCATCATGGCCTCTGAGCTCCTCCAGCGTCGGCACCTTCATGGGGACGAGTCTCGGGAACATCGCCATTAGCACCACCTCCGCCAGCACCATGGACACCGTCAGGATGCCGAAGGTCCACCTGGTGCCGAGGTTCGTGTACACATAAGCCACGAAGATGGGGCCCATGATGCGAGAGAAGCTCCCCACGCCCGTCAGCACGCCCATCCACAACCCTTGGGGTTTGGGTCCCAGGATTTTCGAGAACAGAGCCTGGCCGAGAGACTGCGCGACGGGGTAACCCAAGATGACGATGATGTAGGCCACGATCAGCTGCGGGATGGGCAACTGCGGCGTGGTCTGGCACCACTCCTGTTCCTCGGGGCAGCCGAGGGTGCAGTTACGATCCCCCGATTCCGTCTCGAGCAGATTGATATCTCCGAAGTTCCACGAGTCCACGGCGCCGACATCCAGGAGGGAGGCAGGTGCCGTTCCCATGGTCGTGGTGCTCGTCATGTCCATGGTAGTGGTGAGATTATCCATGGTCTCGTTGTAGCACACCTGGATGGGGATGGAGCCCGGCCCCCACGGCAGGAACAGGAACGTCCCGATCATGAGCGGCACGAAGCCCAACACGAGCATCACGATCCGCTCGTCGTACTTCTTGGACAGCACGCCGCTCAGCACGAACATAAAGATGGACAGGAACCCGCCGCCGCTGAGCGCGATCCCCACCACCACCATGGCCTTGTCGTCGGTCCAGCCGTACTGGTCCACCATGAAGGGCTCGGCCAGCGTCTCCAGCAGCACGTAGATGAAGAGCGTGATGAAGAAGCCGAACAGGATGGCGGAAAGGCTGATGTAGTCGGGCTTCGGGAGACGCAGCGCCTGGTCCTTCTTACCGGCGTTCATCATCGCGCGCTCCTTCTCGGCGATATTATACTCCTTGTGAAACGAAGGAAGGGGGCAATGCGTGAGAGAATGGGAGAGAAACGGAGGAATGCATGCGTCTACATATCTAGAATATATATATTGACACAGACGATAAGCAGAATGATGACCTGACGATCGGATGATTATAGATATTAAACGGGCACTAAATTAATATAGAAGCCAAAGGAAT